GTGATACTGCACGGGAAACGTGGGGGCGACGTAACGATGATTTACACACAACAAATGAAGAAGGTTTTGCATAAAGCATGCAGGGGCTTTTTGGTACAACTTGAGCAGCAAACTAAGGGAGAGTCAATAGAATTTGAAGATCCAAATCTACTTCCTTTGCTTGCTGAATTTTTAGATATATTTGACGAACCGCGCAACCTACCTCTTACCCGCCGGCATGATTATTATATAACTATTCTTCCAGGCAAACCTCCAGCAAATGCTCAGCCATATCAGTATCCACATCTCCAGAAGGATGAAATAGAATGGATTGTAAAAGAGATGCTCAAAACAGGAGTTATTCGGCCACGTTGCAGCCCCTACTCTTCACCGGTGCTCCCCTTACGAAAGAAGGACGGAACATGGCAATTATGTGTTGACTACCGAGCTCTCAATGGCATAACCATCAAGGATAAATACCCTATTCTAGTAGTAGATGAATTGTTTGATGAAAGGGAGCACAAATCTTCACAAAGCTGGACCTTCGATCCGGGTATCATCAAATACAAGTATGCGAAGAAGACATACCGAAAACCACCTTTTGAACACACAACAACCACTATGAATTTTTGCTTTCTTCAAAAGAAGGTGGAATATCTTAGGCATATCATATCAAAGGAAGGTGTGGCAGAAGACCCCTTCAAAATTGAAGCAATGCAAAACTGGTCTACCCCGAGGAACGTAAAATTGCTACATGGCTTTCTGGGTTTAACAGGCTACTACTATAAGTTCGTGAAAAACTATGGCGACATCAGTGCACCACTTACTTCCTTACTGAAAAAAGATGTCTTCCAATGGTCGGATAGAGCCTCCGTTGCCTTCGACAAACTTAAGGCAGCCATGAAAACGACGCCGGTGCTAACACTACCATATTTTAACCGACCCTTCATTATTGAGGCTGACGCATCTGGAGTCAGAATTGGAGCCATTCTCATGCAAGATGGCCGACCACTCGCATACACTAGTAAGGCATTATCTCCCTCCCATCAAAATAAGTCAACATATGATAAGGAGATGCTCGCCATTGTGCGTGCAGCAACGAGGTGGAGACCCTACTTGATTGGTCGACGATTTCAAAATAAAACCGACCATAAAAGCCTCAAGTACTTTTTGGAGCGAAAGATATCATCCCCTGAGCAGCAAAAATGGGTAACAAAACTTCTTGGATTTGATTTTGAAATAACTTACGAAAAGAGGAAAGAGAATGTTCTTGCAGATGCGCTTTCGTAACTACTCGAGCAAGTTGAAGTTTCGGCCGTTTCACTTCCGACCAGCGACTTCCTTAAGGATATTAAGATGGAATGGTAGGAAGATTCAGATACTAGTAAGATTATAAAAAAATTGGAGGAAGCACCAAGCCCCATGGCTCATTACAATCGGGACTCAAAAGAATTATGCTATAAGGGATGCATTGTGCTTGTGACAAATTCTACTTGAATCTTCAAGAGCAGATTTTGGACAAAGTTATTCCATATGCAGGGTACTAAATTGAAAAGGAGTACGACATATCACCCACAGACCAACAGCCAGACGGAAGTTTTAAATAGGTGCTTGGAGACAGCCCAAAGCCACCCACCAAATATGACTATCCAAAGAGAACTCCAGACCCAGCCAAGTGCCATTATTGATCGACGGATCGTGACTCGACGACGATGACCCACTAATGAATTGCTAATAAAGTGGGCGAATCTACCAATAGAAGATGCCACTTTGGAGAACTATGACGACTTGAAGATCAAATTCTTAGAATTCACGAATCATCAGCCTCGAGGACAAGGCTGATTTGAAGAGGGCGGGTCTGTTAGGACTCTAGCTTGGAGAGTCCTAATTGAGAGGGACATTCATGTAAAACTGTTAGGACTCTAGCTAGGAGAGTCCTAATTGAGAGGGACATTCTGTTAGGACTCTAGCTAGGAGAGTCCTAATTGAGAGGGGCATTCAAGTAGGAGGTGTTTTCTTAGAGAAGAATTAGGAGTTGTAAGGGAATAGGAGTCTTGACTATGAGTCCTACTAGGAGTTGGTTAGAAGTAAGAGTCTTAAGTAGGAGTCCTATTATGAGTTAGGGTTTAGAAGCCCTATAAATAGCCATGTATTCCTTCTCTTTTCATAAGTAATA